TCACATCAATTATTTTACATTGTCATTTACATTGATAATTGTCTTATTACAAAACAAAGATGCTATGTCAAATTATATTTCAGGTTATCCAGATCCATGTAATTCTCCCTTTAACATCTGTAATTATAATGCAAACTGTACCCCTGTGAGTGAAACTGAGGTTAACTGTGTTTGCAAATCTGGATTTCTAGGAAACGGGACATCATGTAAAGTATTACCTCTAACGTTATCAATATGTAATATAACATGCACAAGTAGAAAATCGTTTCTATCTAACTCTCACATTAATAATTTTACATTGTCATTTACATTGATAAGTAGTATTTATATCACTATCAATGTTTCCATAATATTTAACACAGTAAATGTAACATACACAAGAACAAATCGGTTCTGTCTCAATCTCACATCGACAATGTTTCTTTGTCTACCTCGTAGCCGGTAATTGTCCAAAGACTCAATATTAAGTTATATTTCAGGTGTGCCAAATCCATGTACTGATCCTGTGCTGAACAACTGTGACGATAATGCAAAATGTACCCCTGGTTTAGACGAAGCTGTTAATTGTACTTGCAAAACTGGATATGAAGGGAACGGGACATCATGTAAAGTATTACCTCTATCGTTATCAATACATGTAATGTTTCAAGAATGTAATACAGTGCAAGTAAAATGTTGATTCTGCCTCGATCTCACAATGTATAATGTTACATTATCTCTGTCGTAAATGGTAATCGTCTAGTGACACAAAATGACACAGAATCAAATTATATATTTCAGGTACGGAAGCCGTAGTGGATCCATGCACAGATCCTGCGCTGAACAACTGTGATATTAATGCAGAATGTGCGAACACAAACGGAGGTGTTAGTTGCACGTGTTTACCTGGTTACCAAGGAAACGGTACAGATTGCAAGATGGGTAAGCACTGTTATTGTTCTTTATTCAATTTTCTAACATGCAAATGGTACTGTTTTACTACTCTTAGCACTACTCTATCTAGTAATATTAACCATAGGCATTTAGTGTATTTATCCTAAGATGCATTGCTACTTATATCCTTAGGGACCTGCTTCATCTCGGTCATGATTTCTAATATACAGGGCGTTCATAAAGTTCTTGCTAAAGTACTCTAATTTTTTGGTTTCTCAATCAATCTGGCTGAAATTTTCACTCAGTATACCTACACTATTTATGCATTTGAATCTTGAATTATAATGAACAAGTTCCTGAAGAAAAAAGTTATAATTGCTATATTAACACGAGTCAGGGGCAGGCGGAGCAGTATTGAAAAAAATAGATGAAAGATATGGGTTCGAGGTAATTTTAACATACTTAAAAGTATCCTGGAAAATACAAAACAAGCTGATGTTGCCATGTCAACCCTAGATGATGTCATTTGATGACATCATGGTTGAAATTTCTTTGATTCATGATATCATTCATATATTTTTGTGGATGTGACAATTGTTCAATTTAAAAAGTGCTACAAGGCAGGATCTAATTGTTTTCAGCATTAGCCTATGGAGCTTGAGTAACGCCAACTTTCTACCATATTCAGACAATAGATCATAATTGTGGAAGTAGGGCTTAATATTGATAATCAATTCTAGGTTTTAAAGTCCACAAAAGACCGTAATTCCCATTGGAATTCCAATTACAGATTTTAAAGTCCGGGACTTTCATACCAAGTATTTTAAAACCAGGAAACAGTCAAAACTTTCACACCGACAGTAGTATCATAGTTAATTGAATTATGTACCCCTCATGGAATAAGAAACCTGAACACTTAACGCCTACCCTTTAATTTTGTCTTTGAAATAAGCTTAAGGTAAGGAATTACGTGCATTGTCCAACTCATTGGTTTGGTAAGCGCTCCTGAAACAATGATCTTGAAATGCTCACGGTATGATTTCTACTATGATTGTTTATTTTTTAGCTCCGTGCAACGAGGGCGTTGCTATCCCCTGGAACGGAGGATTCCAGTGTTTGTGTCCTCCAAACAAGAAAGGGCTGAACTGCAGCGAAGGTAAGATTTTGATTGCCGTTTTCTCCCTTATGAGAGCCTTTTTACGTGTGTTCGGCCATTTTTAGGGCCAAAGTTGTCAAAGATTTTTGAAACTGTGCAACCCCTCCACACTTGGAAAATCCGGTCTATGGGCCTGAGATAGACCTTTCTAATAAACTCTGTCGCACCTTGTGATATTCCAAAAGACGCTAGAATGTAATGACTAGATTTTATGATGTCATAGGTTATAGGTTATAACATCTGACATCATCATATGACATCTTCAACCCAGCCAACATATCATAATTGCTTCGATGTACCAAAATGAGCAGGATTTTACAATATATACAAGAGCTGCTTAATTTAAGTCATTACCTAAATGCGACATTCCATTCTTTTTAGCTTGACAATTCAATTACACAAATATTTTATTTTTCAGACGTACCTGATTCCAACACCAACTGCTCATGGCCTTCAAATGGTAAGAGCATTGTACAGTTTTGAAAAAGAAAAAGTCAAAATCGTAGTTTCATTTTCTTGATTAACAACTCTGTAAAATAAAGTCACTTATATTATATTGTATACAATACAATACATCATCGGATTGTAGAAAATGATGTTAACTTTGCATGAACATGGCACATCAATAGTTTGCATATTAGACATTCGAACATGACTGTATTCACGGCTTCTATAAACTGTAAACAAAGTCAACATTTCACCCGGGTTATATTTGCGAACATTGCCCGTGGTAATACGTTTAATGTGTTATGTCATAACAGCGGGCCGTAGTAATGGCGGATATATAATGAATACTTGAAACATTTTGTTGAGTTTTCATGTGCGAATCGTAATATAGACTTCAGAGTAGGTGTAATATCGTCGACTATAACCCTTAGGGCTAGGCACAAACGTTTTCAGTGCCCTGAACGACCGAAGGAGGGAAGCCCTTACTTAGCCCTTAGTGGGAAGCCCTTAGGGCCCTAATATTATCCCTGCTCTTCGGTCTATATTTCTTAAGTTATGAGCCTGCACAATGCGGCCGAAGGTGTCAAATATATAGATTGTATCCCTATTGACGTTAGTAGATGCTTCATAAACCTGTAAACTGTGGGTGGTGAATGGCTTATAGAGACACATCCTAGCTAGGTAGATCATTGACTACTATTCGAACATAACTGTACGCCTTCTATATAAACTGTGAACAAAGTCAATATTTAACCCGGGGTATATTCACGAACAATACCCTTCGTTATACGAATAACATGTGACGTCATAACGGCGGCCCGTATCGTAATAGCGAACTTTTCATGTTCCAATCGCAATATAAACCTCAGAACATGGGCAATATCGTCGAATACACCTCTTAGGGCTAGGCACAACAGCATTCGAACCCATCACTTCCTACGATCGCTCGGGGTAAAGAAAGCGTTTGTGCTTAGCCATGTGGGATGTATTTAACAATATTACCTCTGCTCTTCGGTCTAAATTTCTTAATTATGAATTTTGCAAGTGATTTTAGTTGTTGTTTTTTCATGTAGAAGACACATGCAGCTCGAGCCCATGCCATGGCAAGAAGGCCGTATGTATTAACACATTCGGGGGAAATTTCAAATGTCTTTGTGAGCCGGGAAAGGAAGGAGTTCGGTGTGACCAAGGTACGATCCACTTTTCATAATTGCGTCTATTTCTTCTTGACAGGTATGGAAACCTGTAACTTTAATTGTGGATGATATGATTTGTAAAACATTATCTTGTGAAACAGATTCAACTATTATACCACTGACATATTTCTCACTCTCTGATTGGTCCATGTCCTTCACGTGACAAAAAAAATAAGAAGCATTATTACCACCTTGCCGGGCCAGTTCTAGGGGTTTTACTGCTAGTTTAGAAGGCATTCATTTTACTATATCGACTCGATAAATGTGTGACGTCATAGTGGGGGTCTAGAATATATTCTGGACCGGCAATTTTTCCCCGGGAAATTAGATATCGTTCAGTGCGTAAGATTTTCTTGCTATTTCAGCCATGGTCGTTAACGGTGGTTTATTTATTTATGTTTATTTTATCCACCAGAATTGGTGTGTTTACATGTGTTATATAAAATATTGCATAATGGGTTGAAATTATTATGTTACATACTATAATAAAAAATACAAATAAAATGTTTATGTACAACCAATCCCTGGTGTTGACGGACGTCAGGCTACCGCGTTGACACCGTCAGTAAAGCTACACTTCACCTATTACCCGTTAGCTACAATATTATATTGTCTACCTATAAGTTATCCAAACAAATCTCATTGTAAAATTTTGGTTAACTAATCAAAAATCGACATTTGGTCTTGCCTCATACATTCCATAAATTGACAGAGCTATCTTAATATATTTATCCTCTGTCAATACATTATTTTCGCAATAATAATACTAATAAAGTCATTTCTGCGAGCAATATAATAGTGAAATATTGGACTTTGGGCCTTCGGCCCTCGGTCCAATATTTCACTATATTGCCCTTAGAAATGACGTTATTGTACTAATATCCAACGAAAGTCATGTGACACTGTCATGATTAATTAGACATCAATATTTTGCTATTCCATTAATGTGAGTGAGGAATATAACTTTGAATAATAAAACAAATATTTGATTGCATTCATTTTATTAAAGTCAACCGAACTATTCGCACATTTTGATTCATATACAGTACTTGTGTGTATAAACCATAATTAATGTATTTATATAGCTTACAGAAGTCATGAAATTCCAAGGAGCATAATTAAGTACCACAATTATTAACAAATTGATTAAAAAAATTATTATTATATTTACATTAAAATTTCGCCTGAACTTTAATGGCATGTCTGCGGGTCTTGAAGTTTCCATATCATGACTATACTATCAACACTTATCAAACGTCTTAGTATATCATAATGTATAATTCACGAAATCCTATGTATTTATTTCTAACATTGTTTTATTTATCCAGGTTCCCACTGCTTCCCTTGCTTCAGTGTACGATGGAGAAACGTAACGTGCTCCGTTTATGACGACGCTCAATTCATGCGATCGATGCGCTTAAAGGCCACGGTGGTTGACAGGCAGATGTCCAGGTGAGGCTGGATGACGTCAAATAGTTATTTATTCTTGGTTTAAATTTTTGGTGTGTTTAGTGAAATCTTCCATTGATATGATTCATCAGGCCTGTACAAGTATGTATGCCCAAGGGCCAAAGGGAAAGGACAAAACTTAAAACAGAACATGGGAAAAATCTTCAGAGTTCTTGGAAAATCCCCTTTTCAACCCAAAAAAGAGATTCAGATATTTCAATTTCTAGATTTTAGGTCAAAATATGAAATTTAATTCGTCAGTTATTTTCCCATATATTATGGGGGGTTTGATCACACCCCTTGTGCATGATATGCGAACGTAATTCCCGGAACCTACCTGCTCACAAATCAACTGTATTTAGCGTTCGGCTTTTTATCGTATAATGTTCTGTTAACTGATCTGTACGTTTCTATTTGCAGAACAAAGTGTACTGAGGACAAATGGGGCTTTGATCAAAACACGGGAGATATGTGGGTGGCTCGTGGATGTAGAGCAAGGTTCTGTGTAGACTTTGAAGCAAAGCCAATGATGCGTTGAGGCTATCCAGATGGCTACATGCAATGCACTTTAAGTCATGTATATTGTTTCTTTGTATATCCATACACATGCTTGTCTAAGAATAAATTGTCAATTGTGAATTAAATTATGGTCCCATAGGATTTAGGCCCGTTATTGTTGTTCACAATGGGACCATTTTTCGGAAAAGATCGATCAAATACACGAGCTTCACGGCTGAGTAAGCAGTGTGCAACCATGATGTTATGCATATGAACACTATGCCTACTTTATTTTGGATTATGTACATTTACTGAAAGATATGCTCAGTTAATAAGTGGGGCAATTGACTCTTTCCTTGAATAACATTGAAATTAAATGGGCATATTGTTCCATTACGCGTTTCTTCCAGAATAATTAAGATTTAACAATTTTTTTCTTGGTGTGAACTTTAACAAGAATATTGTGAATTTAAGAGTATTGGTTGTTTTAAAATCGCGCCACGCTTTTTCAAGACATTTTAGATTTTAAAATAGTCCGGCTAAACGTCATTGAAAGGATGATTCTCGGTTTGGAGAACGAAGTTCATCACTCTAATTGAGCGTTATCCCTGCTTCTGACCAATTTGATTTTTTTTACATAATATAGATTTGAATGTCTTCTTTTGAATAGTCTTAAATTAATTTGGGTAATATTTCTAGATTTTCCATCAAAAAATTACTAGTGAACCACCCAACGTCGCTTTTATGATTCGTACCACTTTTTTAACTTGATGTATTGCATATTTCCGTGGGTCAATTTGAGAAAAAAGACAAGCAAAGCGTACAGGGATATGTCATGAGCATATCATGAAAAAATCCTTTCAATATGTTTTTAAGAAACATTCGAAAATAATTCATTCTTAAATCGTGTCCCATTTTCGAGATATTCTCTGACATTTTATACACATTCATCCAATAGAGGGCCTCTCAAAAGAGCGACTTCAGATTTTTGGCATTTTACAAGTCATATATAAAATTGATTAATCATCTATTAATTAGATGTCACCACTTGCTATGAACTATGCTAGTGGTGAATATAAGCTAGTCAATTGCTGTGAGCTGGAGAGGGTGTATTTATATCACTTCTATCCTACCACGTGATTACGTGGTCGATGGGGATTTTCTGCTAATAATACACTGAAAACTGCCTGATGAATCTATACAATATATAGTAGAACACTTGGAATAAACATGTATGTAAAATCTAGTATGAGCTTACATTCAGAAATATGGAAATAAACAAACGTCCTTCCTTTACAGCTTCACTGTAGCCTGTACTCCTTTAAAGTGTGCGCCTGACCCGGCTACGTATAGCACAGAGTTTATACTGGCGGATTAGACTAGTTCATTTTTTATATGTGTGTGAAAGCTTTCTCTTATTTGCGTTTTTTCGTTTAGTACGGTTTTGTTATAATTGCCGAGGTCATATAACCGGGATAAAACAATGATTATCGTTGACTGCCCACACACAAAACATACGTTGAGTGAACAGTGTAATTACAAACAACAGGCTTTAGAATACAAAGCGTAGTGTGATAATAAGCTGCACACTACCACTGCTGCATGTACATATTACTAATTTACTAGGGCTCCCAAAGAGTGGATAGGGAGGTTGTGTTTGTCACTTTTAAATTTTACATTTCAAAATTGTCATTTTACATGTCATAATTTGTTGGTTTCATTCGTTTAGCCAAGCAAAACATTGGAAAACAATAAATTGTCTGTTACGTACAATCAATTTTGTTCAGTTTTGATTTGTTGTCAGAATAAAGTTACGTTCATCTGAATCCATGTATCAAAACAAAAACCCTATTTTCACTTCAAAATACTTCAGTGAGATGAAGGCTCGGAATTGTCACATGCAATAACTTATTGTCGTATTCGTTATTTTATCTTCTCGATAGTAGCATTTAGTCGCAAATTTGATGCCAGGTCACCTTGTCGCGTACCTCTTGGGGAACCCCACATTTATGTGTGTACTCATGGAAGTAAATTCCCCGGTGTAGCCGAGAGCCACAAACTTTTCAACAGGTTCGAAATGACCGATTTCTCTCATATATACTCTAAATATTTTATTATTTAGCACCTACAAAGTATTGCTAATAACCAAATGTAATTTCAATAAGGAAACTTATCTGGCTACATATAAATTCAATATCAACACTAGCTGTTCTCTCAACACGTCCTGGCTTACCTTGTGGTGACAAACCCTGGATTTTCGCTATTTATAGTTTATCAACACCTGGACGCATGCGCATTTTATACTTTATCGGGCACTTTAAAGGGATACATCAATGAGTTAAAAATAAAAAATCGGTGTGGAGAATGGACGGGGAATTGAAACACAATTCAGTGCGTAGGAGGTGAGGAACTTGCCACACGATTACGCCTCTTTCTACCTCTCTCTTCCTGATTTAAACCTTAAAATTCGCCCAAGCATCGATCAACGTGGTTATTATAGCTATAAATAACACGTTCATTGTTCAACCAATCTCCAATAAGCCGTTGATGAGAGATAGTCTAGAGAGATTAAACAACACTTAGAAACACCTTAGAAAAATGGCGCCCGTATATGATTTTTTGTGTTCTTTTCTGTTTATCAATACAATTTATATTTTGACACGATTGCGATAAAACGTATACCTAGAAATGTATGGCTAATTACCATAAGCGACTGGTAAATGTAAAAGCTGTTTGGTTTATCATATAAGAATCTGTAATAAAACCTCGATTGCCAAAATGAAACCATCGATTATGTTCAGTATGTTGCTATATATAATAAAAGTTTCCAGTCTTTTTTCAGTTACCATTAGACAGAGTCATTAGTCATTTTGGATTTGCTAGATTGATGATGGCATGGGTTGTTCTTTTTCAATTTCAGCAATAAGTTAATCCTTTTTTATGGACATATTGCTACCTACAACCTTTGACATCATTTATCTAGCCAATAATCAGGTTCTTTGATGTACCAAATGATGGCAGGATTTATTGGAAAATAAACAACTTTTCATGTCCCTCGTGCAGTATCGCTGAGCGTGAATTGATCACTCAAACTACGGATTTTATTTGCCCAAATAGCCTTGGATAACTGTGGTAACTAAAGTAACTGGAAAATGTAATAACGTTTTCGAACCTTTAGTGACATGAACAAAGGATTTTTAGCTTTTTCGATATAAACTTAATTCACAATTTTCAGAAATTCACATCAGTTGATTATGCTTTGCACGCCGCTTAAAAGCGCCATCAAAGCGCCGTTGGTGTGAACTTAGCTTAACAAGTTACTTGGGGGAAGGGGAACAAGGGAGGGGAGTTTGGTAGACATTTCCACCAGAATGATGAAAGTATTCATCGATGTCATATCAAATATTTATGTCATATTGAACATTTATCTCCGCGCTAAAATACCGACGATTGCAAAGGTAGTTTAATCCGGTAGCCGACAGGCGTTTCTTGCATTCGTGAATACAAGCTAGTCCATTTCACTGTTGAATTGCGTCAGTAAAACCTAAAAAATAAGAAATCACAATATCATCATGCAATAATATATGGAAAAATATGTTCCTATTGTACATGAATGACATTTGTATATCTTGGATTGCTTCTAGTTTGGCTTATAAAGTGTGTGGCCTCTTATATATGGATGCTTCTCTGCCATGTTATTTTCAATAAGATTAACATGGCTGAAATTCTTCAAATTACAAGAGGTCACAGTCTTATTGCACAAAAAACGAGAAAATCTGAAATATACAAATGTCATTCATGTACAATATGAATCTACTTTTCCATATATTATTGCACAATGGTCTCCCGATTTCTTATTTTTGGGGTTCTACTGACGCAATAAAACAGTGCAATGGACTCTAACCTTATATTCGCGAATGCAACTAACGCATCTCGGTTACCTGATTAACCCAGTATTCTATGACTAACTCATTTAAATGTGAATGGAATAGTGGCAGGTACTATTCGTATTTACATGGGTCTCCAGTGAAATAGAAGGTTAATCCGGTAGCCGAAAGGCGTTATTTGCATTCGCAAATATAAGCTAAGACTATGATTTGGGAATGAAAGATTTCATCTACCGGATTAACATACTTTTCTATGGGCAACTCATTTAAATATTAAAAGTACCTGCCAATATTCTATTCATATTTTAATGAATTGCCCATAAAATAGTAGGTTAATCCGGCAGCCGACAGGCGTTAGTGGCATTCGCGAATACAAGATCATTTATTTTATAATTTGGGAAATATATATTTTCACAATATTGAAATAGATGGTGGTTCAAAGTGGAATACATATCATACAAAAGTGTCACAGATATGACTAGCTGGCATATACTTTTAGTATATTAGTCCATTTGTCACCCCTATACATCCAAAAGTGAACCTAGAATTTGTTAAAAGTACGATGTTTTATGGTCGATTTATGATAATAAGGGTTTTCTAAAGTGATTTAACTGGGTTGCCGAAAAAGTTTGTTTGGGGAAAAAATTATATAGGCTGATTAGGGAGGGGTGCAATCGCTTAACATGGCGTTGACTATTGACTTAGCGTTGGGATACCACCATATACCTGCTGGTATGTTACTATGGTAATAGATACCAAAATTTTCCCCAAAGTTATTTTTTGGCAACCCAGCTAAATCACTCCAATAATCCCTAATGATAGTATTTACACAGAAAAACATCATACTTTTAAATATTCATACGTTCAGAAAATGACAAATGGACTATATGGTCTTTCCTTGCATGACTTCGCAGAACATATCAAAACCCTGGGATCCACAGGGTAACAGTAACAGTAAGTACATTTCTAAGTTCATGCTTCAAAGTTGTCAAAGTTGTAAAAGGGTAATCCTTTTATGAGTACGAAAGCGTACTTTTTGTTGAATAGCCTTTCCCAGCTGCTAATCTTGTGAGTGCATCGTGCATTCAACGAATTGTATTCACTTATTAACCAATCAGTGCCAGGAACAAAATGCA